GTACAGACCTCAATTGACTGCTAGTTTGGTGAGCGTAACTGAGAATTCGTCACCAAAAATGACTGAGGAAATGAGAATACGTATTTTTTACTGTATGTTTTCAAAATGTTAAATAAAGTTTTGAAATTTTGAGTATCACTCAGTGTTTTAATTAATTTAATAACATTCAAACATATATGTATAATATCTGACGATGTATAAAAAAGTCATTAAAAATTCGGAGAACTTTTCGATAAAGTCTAATACCATAGACAGAAGACAGCCTTATAGCCTAGGCAGACGACAACCTTAATTTGCATTAACAGCCTTAATTCAAATTAACTTGTACATTATCCTCATTTTTAATGCACAAAATCAAACTGAATTTATACTGAATTAACCAATTTCAATATGGCAATGCTGTCGAAAATCAATAAATGGTTGTCAAATTTGTTTACGTTTATAAAAATAAAAATGAGAAATAAAGACAAATTTCAACATTCATACAAATTGGGAGCTGTTTTGCTAGCAAAATAGCTGCAATTCTTCCTCTATTCCATGTACCTATTTCCTAACGTTGTAATTCCGAAAAAAAAAATCCGAAACAAATTTCAATATTATTTATTTATATATAATTTGCATTAAAAACTTCCTAATTTGAATTAATATTTACCCCTGACAGACGAGAGTTTCTGCATTTATGAACCAGTTTTTTATTTCAAAACTATTGTTTGTCTGTGTGTAGGATGAAATTTTTCACAATTGTTTCCAATATTTTTTGGGACTTCATCTTTATGAAATAGATACATGACAGAACGGAAGAATAACAACTAAAATGGTAGTAAAACAGCTCCAGATTGGAAACAATTTTGATATTTGCCTTTGTTTCTAATAATTTTTCATAAACGTAAACAAATTTGACAGCAAATAATTTGTTTTCTACAGCATTGCCATATTGGAATTGTTTAATTCAGTATAAATTCGGTTTGATTTTGTGCATTTACGACACATACAAATGAGGATAATGTACAAGTTAATTTGAATTAAGACTGTTAATGCAAATTAAGGCTGTCGTCTGTATTTCGATTGTGTTTACAATAATTAATTTGTGTAAAATGGAAAATATAGATACAAGTGAACATATTTATATTAAATCAAAAAATTTTTATGTTTGCGACACTATACTTGAAAATAACCCTTTAAGTGGGCCACACACGTCAAACATGTGCGTTCGATCGGTGTGAAGCTCCTAGCCCACACACGTCAAACGGATCCACAAAACTTCATTTCATATTTATTTCTGAAGCGTTAAGATGGACAGTGATATTGATGACGGAAAAAGACCAACTATTTTTATTTAAAAAAAAATATTAAATACTTCTATTTTATTCCGGGAAAAAACATTTTTATTTGCCACACTGTAGAATATATGTAAAAAACATCAAAAAGTATTCCAAAACGTTTTTTGCATTCATTTAACAGTGTCCGCTGATCCGCACTCCACGAAATTTCGCAACAAATGAGAGAATATCCACACACCAGGCCACAGACGTCAAACATGTGCGCGTCGCACAACGAAAAGTGAAAAAATTTTAATTTCTTTCGATCGGTGTGCGCACCGGCAAATCGGTGTGAACACCGTACCACACACGTCAAACATTGCTTCGATTCACACCGATCGAACGCACATGTTTGACATGTGTGGGCCATTTTAGCCTATTAAGACTTTAAAGAGTTAAAGTTATTTGATATATTGATTTTCAGTAAACTTAAAAAAATTACCCAATATGACCTCTTTGAAATTTTGCACATAAATTAAGTGATTACCAATGAGTTATTTTCAATTTATTTCATGTTGCGATTTTTTGCGTTTTGCGAGTAATGCCTCTTTTTCTAGGTAACCTCCGTATAAAAAATCGATCTTTTTGAAATATGGCGAAAAGAAGGTAACAAAACGAAAAAAGCTGATGCTGTTTACAAACATTAAGTGAGTAAAATTGATGTCGACAACATTTCGGATGAAAGAGAAATATTTAAAGCAAACAGTTCATTTATTTTGCTGAAAATTAGCGCAAAGTTGGTAAAAATGTCACAGAAACATGAATGTTTTGAAAGACAAAAATCATGAATGGCTATATTCGGATTTCAATTTTTTGCTTAAAAAATTTTCAGAAAAAACGGCATCTAATAAAAACTTTAAATTTGGTAAAAGAAAAGAAGCTACTGACCTTTCAACTGAGAAACGTGACACACCAAGAACCCCAAAAGCCTATTCCACTTTCAGCGGATGAAGCTCTTGCTTTCCTTCTAGAATATAACTATTCTAGAATATAACTATAAAAAAGTGGTATAATGTAAACGAGTGATTTAAGCTGAAATCGGATAGAACATATATATGAGAGCTTTATATAAAACAGATCCAATTTGAATCAAATTTGGCAGAGACATTTCTGATTTTCGTTATGATCGGGTGTATTTTGTGATTTTTGGCGTGGTTTAAACGTGAAATCGGATGGAACATATATATGGATGTTATATCTAAATCTGACCCGATCTGAAACAAATTTGAGTTGTTTTTAGCCTATAAAAACATGCAAACTAAATTTAACGATAATCGGATGTATTTTGTGGATTTAGAGTTACTTAGACGTGAAATCGGATAGAACATATATATTGGAGCCATATCTAAATCTGGACCGCTTTGAACCAAATTCGACACACTTATTTGCCGACTAAAAAAATCGTACAAACCAAATTTCATCGCCATCCATTGTATATTACCGATTTGGTGCATTTAAAACCGGAAATCGGATGAAAATGTATATGGGAGCCATTTCCAAATCTGAACCGATTTCTTCCAAATTCGACACACACACGACTCAAAAAAAAAAAAAATGTACCAACCAAATTTCATAGCAATCCATTGTATATTACCGATTTGGTGCATCTTAAACCTGAAATCGAATGAAAATATATATGGGAGCTATATCTAAATCTGAACCGATTTCTTCCAATTTCAACAATAACAATTCTAGTAACAAAAAATCAGTTGAGCCAAATTTCATGACGAATAATATGATTTTGCTGCCGCTATTAATTTTGCACAGAAAAAGTGGTAATTTGACCTATAGTGCATAGGGTCGAAAACTGAAAAAGGTAATAAATTTGACGCTGCTATAAAACAAGGTACCCACATAAAATATTGAAGTTTAAAGGTGCTCCCCCTCTCCCCTACCATCGGTCTGTATAAATGCCGATTGAAATTGTATCGAGTCAGGTCTGCAACAGACCACTTGTCCGCATAAAGGCCAATTAGTCTGCATAGAGAACATAGTGGTTTACAAGGACCAATTAGACTTTGTTATTTATTTTTTAAAAATAATGAAATCGACATAATAAAATTATTCTTAACATAAATGTTGTTTGGCTCAATTTGGATCATTTTTGTGGGAGCTAGAAAGATTTCAAACTCATATTTTAATATTTTAACACGTTCAGAGTTGGCCAAAATGATTTGACAAACATAATGTCCAAGTTATTGCAATTACCTAACAATTTTCAATTTAGCTAGACGAACTAAATTTTAGCTTGACAAGCATAAAAAACTGGACAGCCCAGCCAGCTGATTTTCCATTGCAAAAAAAATCGAAAATAAGACTTCAAAATATCGGCGTAATTTTATGGTAAATCATATTTCGAAATATTTTAATTTCTTAATTGCCACATTTGATTTTTGGTGATAAACAAAACTAAAACTAAAGTTATTGATATGTCTCTCACAAATTTAGAAAATAAAACACATATAAATTAATAAAAACGTATTTGTTATATTTTGTACACATATACATACATATCGTTCGTTTTCTGCCCCAGTTGTACGTATACATGGAACTGATATACTTCAGACATTCAATATTTTTATTGCACTAAATTTTTATTATATATCAATTAAATTTACTGTTCAGATATTAGCAACAATAACCGATTATTGGAGACGTCATATTGTACTGAAGATTCCATTAGAAACTAATGAACCATCTGCATGTTAAATGGGATGCACTGGAAAGCGAGTGAGAGAGAACGTAATACTTAATATAAGATTTTTACTACATATACAGGAGGCTAGGTTATACAACTCAAATTAAGGATAAATTAATCGTAAATATACATCTGAAAACAAACAAAAATACAACTGGTAATAAATGGATTGCAATATTTATCACATATTGGGATTATAACATTTCGAAAGGAAATGACATAGTACGAATGGTACGAATAGTAATTATTATTTAAATTTACACTAGAGCGATATTACTAACTACCTAACCTATGGAGTTATTTGTAACCTACTTTTTCCTAATTCTAGTAATTCAATATTTCATCTACTGCTAAACTTTCAATCCTACCTATTGGATCAGTGGTCTCGAGAACATGCTTTTTGAGAAACGAGTCTGTTCGACTCAAAACCAAAAATGGCTGGGTCGGACATTTAATGAGTGATCCTAAAATATGTCTGTATGTCATGCCTTTGTCGTCCATCCTATTAATGAATAAAACTAACACATTTAACAAATTGTTTTGTATAGTTATTGTAATCGCATTTGATTATACGTTTCGATATGCTCTATACTAGGTCACATTTCGTGTGTAGGAATAACAATTAACATTACTAAATTCGTAATCATATACATATGTACCAACACATGGAGGACGGAAAAAGTATTTCGCCCCACTTCCTCTAAATGTGTGCAGAAACTCGGTCTACGTTTAGGACAACAACCAGTTGGAAACCCCTCAGAGCAAAGGTACTTTTCGGCGAAATGTAAAATTATACTAATATACATAAACATTTATTGCATTCTACTTTAAAAACCAAACAAAATAAAATACAGGCCTTATTCATCATCAACCGTCATTAAACAACTGTCATTAAACAAACCTGGAAGAATCAAGACTAAACAACACAATTTCCGCTTCCTTAAATCTAGTTTACAATAACTGCAATGTGGGAGGGGAATGAGAGGATTTAATGAAGGCTCCGCCATTCATTTCATGATTGTGACATGTAACTTAACAAGTAATAAAAATATATGAGAAGACACACTGTAGGTAAGAGATAATTTAGCAGTAGGGTAACTATTATCCCGTCCCGTGCCTGCCGTTTTCGAAGAGCCCCTTCTTGAAGAAGGGCGAGAGTTGCGCCAAAGTGGTTCGTGTTAGACCAGGTCCTCCAGGACCCTCATAAATTGGACTTTGTGGTATTCTTGAACAAACAACAAAGAGGCGCCGTAGGTAAAGCTCTAGGAGACGACGACGATGTTTCGCAACAGCCTCACTGTTCGAAGCAAATAATTCTCGACGGGGAAAGGGCAATGCAGCAATCTATAACAGAATGATTAAATGTTGAAACCCTATTTCTGTCATATATTCTATTTAAGTGCTTGTCTTACCTTGGCTCCGTAAGTATTCTTCATACTCATGTGCAATTCTCTGAAACGGCTGTAGCGTCGCAGTATATTCAACTTTCCATCCGGCAAAACTATGCGAACTTCATATTCGTAATGCGTTTGTTTACCTGCTCCTCGTACTACAAACGTGGGCACAGTTATAATATGCTCAGTCTCATCTATATGAATTAATAGGGACAAATTAGTTAATTATTCAATGAAATCGATTCATTACAGTCGATGAAAATTGACTTACGAAAGTCATCTCTAACCGATGAAGGCCACGATCTTGCCATGTTTGGCATCGTCATGTAAGCCATTTGTGTATTACTGTCATTATTATCTTCATCATTTTGATCATATTCCGACAGGGTATGGCAACAAAGGTGATGATCCTCCATGCTGTTAGAATGCTCCAAGGCATGTTTTTCCATCTTGACGTAGCGCTTTTGCAGTTCTTGCAGCTCTGCTATTTGCCCGTCCAGTTCGGCCTTGTTGACATTCATTTCGAGGTTTTTCATTATCAGAGCCTTTTGAGCTGCAATCTTGCATCGCAGATCGTGCATTGGACAGTTAGAATGCAAACCCTCGGCGTTGGTGTTCATTTCACACGACGAACATGATCCGGTTTCATCATCTGAATTACATAGGGCAATATCCGCAGCAACACCACAGGTACCATTAGTTAGTGATATTCCACCTACTGTGTCAGTTCCTGCCTGCAGACTATTGATATTTCTAACGGAATCCAAACAAACGCCACTGTCGCTCATAACGGCATCTGGTACAACCGCCAACGACTTCCTTACGTCATTGCTTGTCGAACTAATTTTGGAATGTGGTCCAGAGCTGTTAGTGCTCGAGGAAGTCGGCGACGACGTTTTAGATTTTCGAATACCCGAATCAGAGATCGTGTCGTCATCGTCTTCAATTTCACCAGAAGATAGTGTGCAATTGCTAAGAGGTGTGATGTCATCTTCGGCAATTGTGGGCGAGCCCAGATTGGAACAGTTCGTCTGTGCGGTATGGAAGGTGTCACACGTAGTCTCGTACGTTTCCGAATGTGATATATCATTCTCTGTCTGCACGTTCATGTCAGTGGTACATCTTTTGTTGATTTGCAAGTGTAAGCTAATCGAAAAAAATCTTGACTGAAAGCAATTATTAATGTGAATGTCACTATCTACCTGTCTTTCTTCTTAATTAATGTGTCATGTTCCATCTCCATCTCTTTACGTTCCGTGAATAAAGTCTGCAATTGTTCGGCGATTTGTAACAGGCTCTCGTCAACTTGAGCTATCTTGGCGGTGCTTGAATTAAGCATGGACTCTTTTTCGGCCACTTGATCATCCAAGCGACGTATATCTTCATTCTATATTGGAAAAATAAACATTAGTTGGCATATGCCAAGTGGAACATGGTGTTGTATACTTTACATTTCTTTTCACGGTATCTTTGATGAATTGGGAGGCAAATAAGTCAAGCGAGTCTGCAGCTTGTAGTAATAAGTCATCGGTCAAAGGAGTTGCCGTATCTACCTTTATTCCAATCTGAAAAATATATATAATACAGTTTGTGCAACTTTACAATTTTGTATCTCGAACAGAACACACATATACAGTTCTATACGATGAACAAAAAGTCCACTTCACTAACCTCGTCCAATTTTCCGCAATCTTGGAGCTCCTGTAACTCTTTTGCTACATACTCCGAAAAATCACGTTTTTTAGAGTCGAGCTGAGTTTGCAAGGCGGAAATTTGTCTACACACTATATCAATCTATAACGACACAAAACATGACATACAAGCATACATATTGTATCAAATGGTGCACCAAAAAGAAATTTGACGAAGTTACCTGCACTTTCTCATTGTTCTTCTCCCAAAGCAACATGTCCTTGCGGGCTAGGAGCTCTTCTTCCCTACACCTCAATAGTTCCAGACTATTCTTCTCCTCCCTTTCCAGGCGCTTGAGTTCCTCCGTCAGTTTTTGTACTTTAGTTTTGTACTGGTCGTGCATTTGCACACGTTCCTAAATAAACATCAACATTTGACAAATGGAAATTTACAGTTTTCAATCTGAATAACTTACAATATTCAATTGTTTTAAGGCATTTTCTATAGTCTCTAAGATTTTACGGTTTTCATCCTGTAGTTCGGGGTCGTCGCGAGACATTGGCTTAGTTGGATAATATTGTTTGTCGCTTCTCTTGAGTGGGGAGGAAATAAGGCTGGCGCTCATCGAAGAATTTGAATCGTCGTCTAAACAGAAACTCGAAGTGAGCAGGTTTTCGCGCGATGATGTGATAAGGGAAAGACGTGACATATCTAATTGGGAGCGGTGGTATTCCTTGCGCAACCGCGCAGCTTCCGTCGGATTGTTGAAACGGAAAATATTCGTACGACCAAGTAATATAATATCTCCTTGGGATATGTTCGTTGGTTCATCTATCAAATGTGCGTTTAGCCAGCATTGTGCCAAAGGCCGGGGATGTAGTGTACATATTCCATCCTTCAAAATGATGCTACAATGCTGAGGCCGTATTCCATCACCGCTTAGCTCAATATCCTGTGGTATTTCGGCTTCGTCAGTACCAATAGAGGTTTCACCCTCTTTCAAACTGTACAGGGTGACGCCAGTAGTAATATCGTTGTGAATACCAATGAGATGTGGCATTTCGGAGTCAAGAACAACACCTACACCCGATTTTCGCAGTCCCAAACTTTTTTGCTCCTGCAAAATGGACTGAGCTTCTTTCCACTTTTCCGTCCATTCTTCTGTAAGAACTTTCTCTTGGGCTTCTTTTTTCTGCAAATCCTCTAACATTTTTAGAGATGGCTGAAGCGTTTGCTGTTGGGGAAAACGTTATTAATCACATGTAATTCATATAAACCACTATATTGCTTACAATATCACTAGAAAGCATTGCTTTCAATTTGTTGATTTCATCTCGCAACTCTCGGATGAGTTTGACATTTGGATCCTCATTAATCGTCGGTTTATTAATAATATTCTTAGCCCGATTGGCATATCGCAACGTACTTAGTGTCTCGCTGTAGTTACAATCAGCTGGTGAGAGTGCAGCAATCATAATTGTTTTACTGTTGCCACCCAAACTGTCCTTCAGCAACCACGTTAGGATTGAATCTCTATATGGTATGTAAAGGATGCGCTTGGAAGAACTACCTTGTGTTGTATTAGAGTTACTTTGTTCAGCTAATGCTGATATGACACTGCCTAATGTAACCAACGACTTGTTTATGTGGGCTCCCTCTTTGAGGCGCTGTCCAGTGGCTCCAGTTGCATTAGCTCTTTCACTAAAATTGATATATGTTTTGACTTCATAATAAATAGTATGTATTAGCAAAGATTTACCTTCCGGCCAAGTCCACTAAATGTATTTTGGATACAGTTTCACTTGGCATGTCATTCATATATCCGGCCTGAACGAAAGTGATGGTAAATATTGCATGGCTTCGACTACTGGTGTCATTCATGTTGGTACTGGCTGTTGTGCGTTGTATATTGCCACGTGTAATGCATTCCTGAATCTCATCGAAATCTGCCACGGAATGCTGTGACAAATTTTCCACATATGGGCCCAATGTTCTGTGTTCACGAACTCTTAACCCGTGCCCATTTGTTTGGGGACCGAGTAAATCCTTTACACGCTCGTTGTAAATTTCCAAGTAGCTAGCGTGTGTTTTATACCCAGTTCCCGATTCTTGGCCCACACGCATTCGTGCAAAGAGTTCTGAGCAAATTCTTGGAATAAGTCCAGGATTTTCTGAAGTGCCCATCATGGTAAATGTTTTTCCAGATCCAGTTTGGCCATAGGCAAACACGCAGGCATTATAACCTGCGGAAGAAGTTAAGAGTTAAAACTTTCGCAATGACTCCATCCGCAACATACCTTGAAAAGCACAATCTATGACATCTGTTCCCAAATCGTTATATACTTGCTCCTGTGTGGCAAAATGTTCATCATTCTTGTCAAAGGACCAATAAGAGTAGTCAAATGTGAAGTCGTGATAGTTCTCACGTCCAGCATCACGTTGGGCTTGCTGTTTCGGTTTGTAAAGTCGAGATTTCTTATTCTCCATTTCCACGATACAAGTAGCACCCATGTCTTCCTCCCTGAAAACATATACATAATTTTTGGACTGAAATCATGTCTCTCATGGTTGATAACAAAAGGAGACATAAAAGCGCTTATGCGTTTTACAAGTATTCGATTTATTCAAATCATGATTCAAATAATACTAAAACATAATTTCAACCTTAAAACTCTAAATTTGTACAATTCAACACAATTTGCCACTTAAAAATGAGATTCTGCGGCGTATCCGATGTATGTCTATGACCACAGTAATTTATTTATCATAATTGTATACCTATGAACGAAGTAAAATATTTTAAAGCTACATACACAAGATAATAATTACCTCGGATTAAAGGGGCGGACCCTAACAGCCACTTTAATTGACGAAGACATTTTCGTATGATTCACCTTTTTTGGCAAGATTAGAAAACAATTTTGGATTTGGCGAATCTTTCAGCTACATTGGAACAGAGGTAATGTTGGTGATGGTTTACTTCCTCGTTGTCGTTTTGTTGCTTTCCATGTAAACTATTTTTTGCTTGTAGCTGTTGTTGTTGGGATTTTCCTGCCACTGTTAGTGTCTGTGCTATTTGAACCCTCGCATAAAAACAATTATCATCCAAGCACGAACAAAATGTTAAAAACAAAACTAGTTTCTTCGCTGCAATACAGCCAGATGGATGAACGTTCACAAAATATTGCCACACTATACAAGAGTAATGAGTTTCTTTCCCAAAGGCTCATTACAACATACGTATACACTCGAAGTACATCCGAAAGTTTGTGACCTTTTTTGTTTGCAACAAGAAGTGACAAAGTAGAAACCAGAAATATGACGATGTCTGGACAAGTGAGAAAGGTATACAGCCGAAACTTAAAACATACAACCGCACAAAAACACAGTTTTGAAAAGCTAATATAAAACTCTGTCACATACTAAGCTCTATAAAATACATTTGTTCTTATTTTTTTTTATTTATTTATTCGTTGACTTGACTTCTCGAAGTGATTCTTCAAAATATTGTGACATCATATACAAGGTAAGTCGATTTCGACTAATCGATAACTCGATTTCTCGTATTATTAAGGGATTAGTCGTGGCTCAATAATAAGGTCGTCCGATGATTTCACCCGATATGTCAAATGCCTTAAGCGGTGTACACACTATCATTTTTGAATGACACTCTTGCTGAAATATCGGTTTGCTTGCCAGTGTGGCCGTTAATTTCTCTCAGTCATCAGGCAACCACAAAAAATGTATGGTTGCGCGACATTTAGATGTTGGATGTTTGTTGGTTCGATAATGAGAACATAAAAAACGACAGTCAGACAATGAATTTCAACAATAACATGGACTCCGAAAACGAATTTTTAAAAGAATTCCTATGTTGCTATGAAATGCAACGGTGTCTCTGGGACATAACCAGTCCAGAGTACCTGTCACCTGGCTATCACCTGGAGAAACAAATGCGCTACAGCCGCACCAAGAAAATATGTCTGCAATGGGCCAAGAACAAGAAACATGTCAACAATGGCTATCGCCTGGAGAAACAAATGCGCTACAGCCGTACCAAGAAAATGCCTTTGGAATTCACCGCTGCCGATCGTATCTACTTCTATAAGTCCATAAATTTCGCTGCCTGCATGAAGGAGAATTTCCAAGATGAACTTGATTCGTTGGACTTCAAAACCTAAGCCGAAGAGGGACGCATGGAAATCAACAAATCCCCGAAATGTTAAATCCCTGTGATTTTACCTCCGACAGTCAAATGGTTTTGGCTAATGCCGCCTATTTCAAAGTTCAATGATCGGATAAATTCGATGCCAAAGATACAAAACAGGAGATTTTCTTTATCACCCCTAACCAGTATTATTTCGTACCCATGAGGCGTAAACGTGGAGAATTTGGAATTGGTACCGATCCTACGCAAATTGGGTATCAATTGGGCATCGAGCAAGTAGACAGGTAAGGAGATTCTTTCACATATCTCTGCCCTAGAACTTTTTTACTCGTCTCGTTTCCATTCTATTTGTTTGTTTATTCTTCTTCTTTCAATATAATTTTTACTGCTGCTGCTGGTGCTAATACTACGACATTTGCCCTATTCTCTCTGTCTATTGTTTTATTTATAAAAAATGAGGAAGTGCTTAATTTTGCGTTTTATATGTTTTATTTTTTAATATTATTTTTTGTTTTATTTGTTTTTCTGTTTATTTCGAATAAATTATAACAACAATGACCGTTAGGGTAATTTATAAAACAACAAAATGAAAAAAGGAGGTAGATACATGGTTCTTTTTGAAAACATGCACAGAATCACTTTCTGAGTAGATTTATGCATGTCCGTCGTCTGTTGATGTTAAATTGTAAACAAAGCACGGTCAAATTTATGATCCGAATGACAATTTTGAAAAAAAAAACCTATTTTTGATTATTATTATTATTAAAAATTCACATCCAATTTTTTTATCATCCATTTTTATTAATATATTTCTTTTATACGGCGTCTTATTAGCACAATTTATAAATTTGAATGTCGGTTTGAAAAAAGGCATGAATGATAATATGGCCGCTACAAACAACACAACAAAACTGTAACAACCGATAAGTTATCGAAACTGTCACTCAAAAATGATAGTGTGTACACCGCTTTAAATTTTGACTTAAGGCGGAAACACATAAGGGAATAATTTGGATGCCGTTCTCATTTATTCTTTTACAATAAAAGAAGTCAACTTAACATGCCAAGCCGGAAAGTCCTCTTATGCCATGTTCTTACAGGAATTTGAACAACAACTACTTTTTACTACGATAACGATTTTTCCCTTATGATATCGAAAAGTTTATTTTTTCAAACTTTTTGTTTTACACCAAAATTGTAACATATATGCGCGAATCACATTTGAATCGAAAAATATTAAATTATTATCTTTCTTGGTTTTCCGCAAATTAGAACCTATGGGAATGAAATGCATATTACATTATGTAGATAAATTTGGAACTCATCTATCAATTTCAAATTGTTTAAAAATAAGTAATCACTTCATAGTTAAGGGTTGAACAACGTCTGTACATGGTATTAACTTAACGTGTCAGGCCTGAATCCTCGTTTGTGTTCCCTCTTATTTTGTTAATGTTCATCCATAAATGGTAAAGGGGAAACACATAAGACGACTTCAGGATTGGCATGTTAAGTTGGCTTCTTTTATTGTAAAAGAATAAAGGAGAGCGGCGTCGAAATTCAAGTTTAACTCTGATATTCATTAATAAATTGACATTTCATAATGCTATTAACATGCTAGGCATGAATCCTTGTATGTATTTCCCCCTTAAAAGTTGCACGTTCTGAACGGGTTCTTTTAACAGCAGGTTGCTGTACGCCGTTCTGGACGCCGTTACGGGAGACATTAGTGTGACTCGGTTATCTGTCGAACATATGTGTTGTCAAACATTAGCGAAAAATTTACGTAATTTACCGACATTGGGATCGATTTTTTTTGGAAAAATTCTCTAAACTAGTGAGAATAACTTCGATTAGTTTATAATGGGTAACACATATGCTCGAGCTGTCCATCCCGATGTTACACCCGGACCAGATTGTGTTCCCACCTTCGATCCTCTGTTGGGTGCGCCAAATCGCAAAGAGCGTGTTATGAAGGCTACCACGGATGAAATGATTTCAGCAAAGTTGCCCTTGGCAGATCGCGACTATTGTGCCGACAAATTACTGAAATACCGTGCATGTCGTGCCGATGTCTTTCCATTCCTTTACAAGTGTCACCATGAGAAACATGAGTACATGACATGTGAATTCGAGGACTATGTTTTGCGTATGAAGGAATTCGAAAGGGAGCGAAGATTGCTGGAACGCCAAAAGCGATTGGAAGCTGCTGCATAAACCGTATTTGAAAACGAATGATATGGATGGTCCAGGAGAGTCGGGATAATGGTAAATTGTAATCATAACATCGAAACGTATCATTACTAACGCCCTATTATTGTTATAGGCTGCCTAATTCGGGTTGAAAATGTAAAGATGTTAAATGAATTTTCAAATGTACCAATAAATCAATATTAGCTGTTAATGTGGTAAACAATCAAAAATGTTTTTTTTTTATAGTAAATTTGTATGATCTAATATTTTTTTTGTAGAACAACTGATATTAAACAGCAACCAATTGCTAAAGCTGCACACGATTAGCAATTTATCTCGTATTTCAATTAAATTTATTTTTTCAGTAACGAGAACCTAGCCCAAAGGGCCATGAGAATTCCAAAAATTATTTTTTGGTGCTATTAATAATGTGTTGTATGCGTTTCATCCTAGTATACGTTACTGCCCATAAATAATCAAGCAGCCAATTTTATTTGTACAGCTATAGCGCCTCAAACACTAAACGGATTGTGTCACAGATTTTTTTTAAGTACGAAACTGCATATGGGCACTTCCGCAGTCACACGACTTTCAGAGGCAAAATCAAACGTTAAATGTTAAATAAATCAAAAACAATTATATCTTGTACAATTTTCCCTTATTATTTTTTTTAACTTTAGGAGAACTATAAGTGGTAGAAATTTGACAACTTTTGAGATAAAAGCCATAAAATAGCAGTCGCTCACGCGACGTCAAACATACATGATATCATTGCTAATAATGGGAAAACTCGTCGAAGGATTTTTCCCGGTCACTCACACATTTTTGATTTTGCAGTTTTGATTTCGGCAGTGTCTTCATTTCTAGTCATTAAATTAGTAATAATGCTAAAAAGAAGAAAAATTCATAAATGTGGTCTTTCTTTGTATTTTTGCCCTTCACATATTTAGGCACAATTACAGAAACAAATTCATCGACTTTGGTTTACCTTTTGCCAGAAATGTCAGTATGTGTTAAAATTTCAGTTAACTTATCTTTTCCTACAGATGAAAATTTCCATCACACAAATGAATGCCCAAGACGCTAACTTTTGATTTTTCGTTTGTATATACATAATTGTTTTAATGTGCCTTGCATAAAAATTCACTAACAGTAAAATGAGGTTAAATTTCAAATTTTCCATTTAATTATAGTTGCGATAGACGAACAATTTCGTTATGATGGAATTTTACATCACCTTACTGCATTTCTACCATGATTTATGTTTTGTCAATTCTCCATGTTTATTTGAAAAAAGGTATTTGAAGATTTTTTCAAGCATCTTGAAGATGAGTGGCTATCAGAAGATTACATTGATGATAAAATCATGATGTTGAAATGTATCAAAAACCATTAGCACAATTGAGAATGAAGTGCAATTAAAGAGGAAAAAATGCTTTTCCAGGTCAAGTTATGTTGACGAAAATTATGTAGATCATTTCTAAACAGAGTATTTCTGGAATATAAAAAATGAAATAAATAAAAAATATGATACTAATTTTTTTTTTATTCTATAAAAACTGTGAATTGTTATTAAACTTAAATCCACTTTTGTAATACTATTTTATTTCTATACTCACTTCAGATGCAGCATTGCGATATGATGGAAATTTCCATCATATCGTATTTTTGTGAAATGTATTATACTAATCAATACTAAAATGATTTTTATTTGATTTTGAAAATGAGCCCCTTTTCAATCCGATGAATTTCGGTCATTTTCAAATTTGTCAGAAACAAATTTTGGAATATAAAAACATATAATTGTGATGAAATAAAATAAAATAATCAATTTTAATTCGAAATTAAATGATTGTGAATTTTGATTGTTTTGTTTTTGTAATTTTGATTGAAGAGTCGTCTACACACTATTCAAGCACATAAGTACACAGGGGTTCATCGGCAGTGGCAGTACGGCAGTATAGTGTGTGGGGCAATAAGTGAAATAGTTAAAAATTAATTCCACAATTTTCATTTCACAAACGACTGAAAGCCAAATGAATGTGATCGGTCGTTCATTAAGTACATTCATAAATGTCATTGATGACGCTTTTACACTCGTTATCGGAGAGCCGTGGCCAAAATACAAACATTGATACAGGTAGAAAAAAAACATTGTCACAGGTAGGAACAAAAAAGTACGAAAAGGTACCTAAAATTTTACTTCAAATGATACATTAGAACTTTTTACAGGGTTTAACCTTTTTTATGAGGATTTATTTGGCATATATTCAATGGAATTGACAATTGAAACCCACTGGGTTAACGTAATCCGGTTAAATGTAAACGTACTGTTATCCAAAAACATTGACCAATATTTATACCAGTTAATTGCATAAAAATATATGTTATAATTTAGGCATAAATTTATTCACGAATAATTAAAAAATGTACTTTTTGTTTTGGTACGTTTATGTAAATTCGTACCTTTTGACCAAATAAATGTCAAAAATGTTGTTGTAATGTTGAACCAAAAAATTAAAAAACAAAATTATAAATGAAAATCTCCGAATTTCGAAGAGCTTGTTTGGCAATTCTTTTATTAACATTTTCTACAAGAATTTGTGTTAAAAACTATTGTCAATCTGTTTGTTTTGGCAAAATATTTTTGACATGTCAAAATGTTTGTTTTAGAAATTCGCCGATTTATATGAAATGTCAATTTATAAAGGAATATAAGAGTCAAACTTAATTTTGGACGCCGGTCTTCTTCATTCTTTTTACAACATGGTACAATTATAAAAGGTAACAGCAAATCCCAATGATTTGATTCCAACGTTATACTAGTGTCAATATGAATTTGACAAATTATGTTTTTAAAAATCACCCAACTGGAAAATTGGGAACGCATACAATTTAAAATTGTTCTTTATTAAATGTGCTCCTGTATTCAATTTACTCAATCTGCCTGCTGGGAAAGTTTGAGGAAGCAAATCTTTCTTCAAGGAATAACTCGCGATTCTCAGCATTTTCATATGTGTTACACATATATATGGCAATGGCTCAATTATAGGAAAGATGTGGAATAGATAGAAATATAAATTTGATAGATTTTCAGTCATGTTTTTCAATTTTTATTTTGAGGATTCGAAAATATTTCATTTTCAAAATAAAAATAATTTGATGATAATTTGTTTGTTTATTTACATTTTTCTGTCAAATGAGTTGACACTAGTAGAACTTACAAAAACAAATTTCCAAATTTCCATGTATCGTTTTTTGTACAACAACACTTGCTGTTGCCTTCTATTATTACACCATGTTTTTACAATAAGATAAGCCTACTTAACATGCCATGCTTGAAGTCTTTTATGTGTTTCCCCTTTTAGTATCGGGGGTTCCGTAACGTACACACAGGCAGTATAAAGTTTAATGTTTTGTTATTTATACTTTTAGATTAGGGATACGTAGTCGAGAGCAGAATTGTTGTCAACCGATAATATAAAGTTCTGGAAAGATTATTTTTTTTTAATTTGGGTTTTAGAACAATAAACCAAGTATTATTGAAGAAAATCGAAAGTCGACTTTGCGATTTCCTCAAAGTCGACTTCGACTTTTATGCCATGTTCTGACGGGCATTCGAACAACATAGTTCGCTCTCAGAATTATGTACATGAATTATCCCGTTCATAAAACACTATTCTTAATTCAGAGCTTTTATTTCATCAGAGCTTTTTATTTCAAACTTTTTGTTTCTTGTTTTACACCAAAATTCTAACATATTTGCATGAATCGCATATGGATCTAAGTAGAAAAATTAGTTCTCTTTCTCCTGACTATAGTATGAAACCATATCTATTTATTTTTAATTCATGTTTTCCATTTTTTTCTGAAAATATTGTTGTTTTCATACATTTTTATATTTTCTAAATTCAAATGCCACATATAAAAATTTGGAGAATTTTTTGTTTGAGTTTCCCCAAATTTGTTTCTCGTTTTGTACGCTAATAAGAACCAAGGGGAAAGAAATTCCTATTGCATTATGTAGATAACAAAATTTACATCCTTTATCCTTTACTTTTCAATTTTACTAACATGGTTTGAAAACTTTATAAGCATTTTGAAGCTGTCAAAATTAATTTATTTTCGATAAATGCTCTCAATTGTTAGGGATGGGACAAATTTCTTGGTTCGAATTGAACAATGTACAAAAGTCGGTGTTCGCTCAGAAAATTTTGTATGGGGAACTAATAGTACGTTTACATTTAACCGGATTTCGTTAACCCAATGGGTTTCAATTGTATGTCAAGTAAATCCTCATAAAGTAGGTTAACCCGGTAAAAAGTTGTAATGTATATGTAGTTTAAGTAATTACTTCATAATTAAGGTTCGAGCAACACTCGTCTGTACATGGCATTAGATCTTTCAATACAAAAAATTGATTAATCGATTAGTCTAAAGTCGATTTACTTATCCCTAGTTTAGATGAATAGACTACAAGGTAGCACAACATAATATAAAAAACATCGACATTTTTCAACACATAAATAAAAACATTTTCTAAATAGAATCGATTTAAAATCGTGTATGTAAATGTGGTTTTAAACTATTGGTCTGTTCCAGTTCCTGCAAAAATGTACATTTTTTTCTACGATAACAACAGTTCCGTTCCAGAACCTAAAAGAATCTACTAATTTTACAATTTTTGCAACTTTTTACTCGAAACCCGTTCCTGACCCACAAATCTACATTGAATCAAATTTAAGAGAGCCCAGAACAAAATGGCTTTCTCTTTGTAAACTTTTTACTCGAGAAATTTGGCCGAGTAAAAATGGTAAACAGAAATGCTTACTTCTGATTGACTATTAAGGGCTAAACAGAATGTTCGCGTTGAGCGTTTTTTGTTATCGCGTTAACGCACGCAAAAAGTTAAAATATATTTAACTCTGAAGCGCAACGCACATCAAATTCGAGCGTTTGTGTTATCGTTTCCTTGTGGTTGTTGTATTTTCGATAACACATAACGCAACGGATGGTTCAACGCG